TAGTTAGCTTTTTTTAAAAACTAAGGTACATTGGTAATAGTTTTCCATGACAGAATTATTATTCTATAATTTTTTAATGGCTGCATTGAGTTCCATTTAATGGATCATTATATTATATTTAACCAGATTAAATACATTTAGCTTGTTTCAGATTTTTACCAATACAAGATAATGCAGGGGTAAATAACTGCATTCCTAAACCTAACATATATCTCTGTGTTAACACTCAAAGGAAGATACGCAGTGCAAACAGAAAGTGGACTTAAGAGACTCTTAAAGAAAGCAAGGGGTGCAGCCAAAAAATTAATAGGAAAATTACAAATAATCAATTAGCTAAGCAGCAAAGCTGCCCAAGAATTAATCGTCTTATCCTCAGTGTTCCAAATAAAGTTAAACTGACAGAAATTGCTTTCTCATAGGCAGGGCTCTGGCTCTTCCTGTGTGCCATTACTGCAAAGTTAGAAGGAATCAGGGTGCAGTCGAGGGTTAAGAATGATAAGCCAAATGCCTACACAAAGAAAACCATCAGAAACCAAGTAGTATTTCTAGACTGGGCTTGCAAACACAGGCAGAGGTTAAGAACCTGAGGTAAAGCTGAGAGACTAAACCAGAGTCATAGCATCCCATGAAGTCAGCGTTCTGGTGTGGGTGGACCAGCATTAGAACCACAGATCTGCCAATCACAGGAATTGTGAACTTGGGCTAGTCCCTTAAACTCCTTGACCCTCAGTTTCCACATTTTCCTCATCTTTAACATGGAAAGAGCAATAATGCTTCTCCCTCAAAGTTGTCAGGATTAAATGACATAATGTAGCTTCCAGGTAAAGACAATGCTATAGAGTGGATGTTCAACAACTGGTAGCTATAAACCAGGAAACCAAGTTTTGTCTAACTACGGTAGAGGGTCACTGTGCTTTAGCCTCAGAGGCTGGAACTAGATAGGGCCCAATCCAAAGGGTGGAAAGTATCTGAGCCACACAGAGGACACTGGTGAGAGCCAGAGCATGGAGGCTAGATCCCAGAAACCATGATGACACTTGGGGCCCGTGAAGGGTAAGGGAAGGCATGTGGGAGTGCAGGCAGGGACTGAGTCCAAAAAGCAGGTCCCCAACTGGAACTCCTTTAATTCCTCTGATTTCCCTAAGAGCCCCCAAAGCTGTACAGCTTTTACTTAGCTCCTTTTACAGGAATTTCCTTCTCTTTCCTCCTGTGACTCTTTGTGTTTGCCTCTATTAAGTTTCATATTGACCTAACTTTCAATGTTTACCACTTTCTGAATAGTAAAGCCTTATGCCAGAAGGAGAATATAAATATTTGCTTTCCTGGGAGAAATGAGAGGAATTCCTTCAGAAAAGCTTCGCAGCACTCTTGATCATCTCATTACATCTAATACATCCCCATAACCCAAGGATCCTTCTTCTAAATATTTTGTGAATACACTTCCTTAGATCTTTTTATTTTATTTTATTTTATTTTTTGCAGTACGCGGGGCTCTCACTGCCATGGCCTGTCCCGTTGCGGAGCACAGGCTCCGGACGCGCAGGCTCCGGACGCGCAGGCTCAGCGGCCATGGCTCACGGGCCCAGCCACTCCGCGGCATGTGGGATCTTCCCGGACCGGGGCACGAACCCGCGTCCCCTGCATCGGCAGGTGGACTCTCAACCACTGCGCCACCAGGGAAGCCCCTTAGATCTTTATTATCACCACAATAGTTCAAAATGTCTTTGTCTTTTCTTGGACTCCTACAATCGTCTGCTAACTGGAGCCTTCATTTCTACTTGTGTCCACACCCATTCTCCATTTGCAGCTAGAATAATTCTGTATTATAAAAACAAAAATATGACCAAATCTTTTTCTAGCTTAAAAAACTTCTAATAATTCTCTTTACTATCAGGATGAAGTCACAATTCCTTAACGTTGTCCACAAAGCCTCTATGACCTGGGCTTTGACTTTCCACACTCATTGGCAATTCTCCTCTTTGTTCATAATGCTGCTGTAGTGGTAACTTTTCTTCAGTTCCTAGAAGTCATCAAGCTTTGTTCAACCTCGGGCCCTTTACACATTATCCCCTCTGCCCACAGGTTCACTGCACAACTTTTCACTTGACCAATTCCTCCTTACCCTTCAGGTCTCTAATTAATTTGTGACTTATTCACTGAAACTTACCCAAATCTTCTAAACTAGGTTAGGTCTTTCTTTTATGCTTTCATAACACCCTGTACTTTGTCCTGGCTGCACTTATCACAACTCTAAATAATAGTTGTTTGGCTATTCTTGAATATCTAGCTCTTTGAATTGAATATGATCAAGGATGTATGTCTTATGTTCAAAGCTATAAATCAAGCACATAGCACAAATACTAGCACATAGTAGGCTTCCAATAAAAATAATGTATGTCCACAATTATCCATATTTGCATCGTCAGTCATATATCTATGTGTGTGAAATACATAAAACTAGAACAAAAGAAATTTAGCTGATTTCCTGCATGCTCTTTGGAAGTTAGAGGTTATTCTTTGCCTACTTATCTTGCAGTAGGAGGTACTCAATAGCTAAGAGACTCACTATAGTAAATTTTCTCCAAGTCTGACCCTGAAAAAGTGGTTTATACATAGAAAAGGAGCATGTCAGCTATAAAGGATAGAGAAAATCAGGCTGGCTTTAGCAATCTCCATATCAAAATTCAATGCTCGAAGAAAATGGAGCAATGGCCTACAAAGCACACAGTTAAGGAAAAATATAATAGTGTGATGCAAGAATGTAACATTTAGCAAGGTGTCTTGAGATATAAAACCAAGAGGGACTTCCCTGGTGGTCCAGTCATTAAGACTCCACACTTCCACTACAGGGGACGCAGGTTCTATCCCCGGTTGGGAAACTAAGATCCTGCATGATGCGTGGCACGGCCAAAGATTTAAAAAAAAAAGAGAGAGAGATAAAAGGAAGAAACTAAAGAAAATAATGAAATCTCAAATTTCTATTTCCAGTTATGATGGGTTAGGTTATTCAAACTAACATGCCCACTGATAATGACTAAAGATGCTGGATAAACTATAAAAAAAAAATCTCAAAAGCATCAAATTACTGAAAGAAGGTAAGGAACTGTTAGGCCCAAAGCTAAGAGAAGGCAGAAACCGAAAGAAGCAAATGGGGGGCACCAGAGCACAAAAGCTATTCTTGCCCTGAGGACATTTTCTAGTCAGAGAACATGTAGCTTTTTTTTTTTTTTAGTTGCTTCATTGGGCATGGAATGAGCAGACAAGGTCCAGGGCTACCCAACGTGAAAATGGTATAATGTGATTCTCCCCATTTTAAGCTGAGATTTCACAGGCTATACTCTAAGGGGAAGTATGAACCAGTACCCTAGAATTTTAGGAAACTTTGCTTTTATATTGACCAAAAAAAAAAAAGTTTGCTTTTACATAGGAGAAAGAAAAGATAGTTTAAAAAACTCCCATCTTTGAACAGATGGGCAGCCATTGGGCAGCTCTTGCTCAGATTTGTAGCCTGGGTTAGCAATGGCCCAAGGAAACTCCACCCATGAAAACTGGTCTCTGATTGAGAAGGCCTCAGGCACCCAGCAGGAACAAACAAAAATCCTCTTTGAAAGCAGCCACAAATACTTTTTTCTCACAAATCCTTTTTCAAGGTTAAAAAGTGAAGACACAAAGAAACTAGACACCACGGACCATACACAGCACATATATCAGGCAGCAGAAAGGAACCTGAAAATAATTCAGACATTAGAACTATCATGATACAGATTACAAAACAGCTGATACAGATTACAAAATAACTATGACTACTATGTTTCAAGAAATAAAACAATCCAGCTCCAATTAGCAGGACAGGGACAGAGAGGACAGAGAAACATGCTGAAATGCTCCATGTATATGGAATCAACAAAATCCAGGCTGAGCGGAAACACTATAGAGTCTAAGGTCCCAGGTTTGTCAACAGAACACTGTAAGGAATATAAAACTTTAAACGTTTTGCCATTAAGTAGGATGTTTGGTATATGGTTCATTGCAGATACCCTTTATTAGATTAATTTCCCTTCCATCACTGGTTTTCCATGAGCATTTATCATGAATAAGTATTTGATTTAATCATTTATGCAACAATTATTGAGATAATCATATTCTTTCCATTAATCAATTAATACTTTGAATTCTGGTGTTAAAACAACAATGTGCTCAAAACGTCTTATTCTCCTTACATAAAACTAAATTTGGCTAATATTTTGCTTACCAGTTTTTGCACCTACATTCATGAGTAAAACTGTAAATACCATTTTCCTTCTATTTGCTCTCCTTGTCAGGTTTTCCTATCAGGGTTATACTAACCCTCATAAAAAGTTGAAGTGTTCCCTGTTTTTGCCTTCCCTTCCCCATTTTTCGAGAAGTATTGTATTTGATTAATAAGGGAATTATGGTTATAACAAACTTATGGGGGAGGGGATAAATTAGTTTGGGATTAACATATACACACTACTATACATAAAATAAACAACAAGGACTTACTGTATAGCACTGGGAACTACATTCAATATCTTATAATAACCTATAATGGAAAAAAATCTGAAAAAAGATAGATATATGTGTATGTATAACTGATTCACTTTGCTGTACACCCGAAACTAACACAACAGAAAGCAGGAAAAAAAAAATGGGAATTACGTTTTCCTCATAATGTTGGTTTAACTTGCCAAGAAAGCCTGGGTGGCCTGGAGTCTTCTTTGTGGGAAGGCTTTGGACTACTCTTTCAATTTGTTTTTAAACTGTTTTCCTTCACATGGACAAAGAGGTTCCTCCCCAGGACTTTTCCATTCCGGGAAGCAGACTGCGTTGTGCTCGGGCCACAGAACTGAAGCAAACGCGCTCAAGGTGCGGTCACTACGGGCCAAGGGAGAAACCTGGGAACCACTCGGGGCGCTGCCGGGCCGCGACCACCCTTGTCCCGGAAGCCGCGTTCTGACGTCACCACGCGGCAGCGTCCCCTCAGGACCGCAACGGAGCCTATTGTATCATGGGACACGCATGGCTACTCTCTGGTCTTAGAGCGTCGGTGCGGACTTTCGCTCGGTGCTCTGTGCACCTATTCCTCCCGCCTGCTCAAACTTCTTTCCTATTTATGAAGAGGGGGGCGTCCCATCTCCCGGAAGCAAGGAGATGCGAGAGGACGGCGCCGGTTTAGGTGCAGCTAAAGGTAATGGAAGCTGATCCGGAGCCTGAGACCCATCAGAGGCTCACGTGACGGTCTAAGGGCTACTACTGCCTACTAACGTTCCCCGCCACCGAGGGATCACGTGACAGATGGCTGGCTCAGCTGTGTGTCTTTGCCTCCGCGGCGGCTTTGGTCCCCTTCTTTTGCCGCATGCGCAACACACGACTGCCTACTGCGTTGTCCCCCGAGCCACACTTCACCATTTCTTCCTCCCAGGTCCAGAGATGTGTGTCCGCTTGTCTGCCCCTCTTGGGCTCTGGGGGAGAAGGTGATCGGGGAACCGGAGGTCAGGGGAGTCGGGATAAGAGGTCTTCGCCCGCATCTGCTGAGACTGTCGTGATCGCCATCCCGAGGGTTGGGGAAGAGTGCCACAGGCCAGCGGCGCTCCCGGGGATTCTGTCTTGTGTAACGTGCTCTCGAGAGAGCTGGAGTGAGGAGCGTGCGTCCTAGTGACTCATGATGCCGCCACTTCACCGTCACCTTCTCTCTCCCTTGGGACTTCCTGGGAGTGAGCCGGTGTCCCAGGAGCTTATTCTTATCCTTAGGAGAATCATCGTCTCCCTCTCCTCCGCTAAGGGGTTTCCGGCCTTACACGACCTTTTTCGGGATTTCTGACCATTAGCCTCTACATCCCCCGAGGCTTAACTCTAAGCTGACCTCCCGCCGGTACTAGACCTGCGCCATGGCCCTTATGGGTATATAAAGTATAAATATAAATTGACCTGGGTTTTTAAGATTTTTAGCTCCCCAGTTCAAAACATACCTTCCCCGTCCTTGATTTCCATCCCCACACCATGGTAGTAGGACTAATCCACCATTACAGTCCACTACTACCGTCTGTAGGCACTTATACTGCTGGACCTTGCATCTCCCATCCGCTCCTCTTATGATATTTGACATAAGATTATCTGGCTACTGTATTGAAACAAATGCTTCCAAAATCTCAAAAGTATTTTCCTCTGGTTATTTAGGTGTGCTGTTTTATTAAAACTGTTTTTTTCTTTGTACTACCTTGGTATTACCAAACAATTCAAACCTGATCCTTACAAGAACAGTATTTTTTATTATTAGTAAGAAGACTATTTTAAAGTGAAGTTGTCTCTGCACCAGACATGCAGCAGCGAAATTCCTGTTCTAGCAAATAAAGATGAGGCTGTCTGATCATTTCAAATGTCATGAAAAAGTAATACTTTTAAATGCTTAAAAATAAATCAAATAGCTGCCTGTTTGTCTTTTAAGTTTAGCTTGTTGAAAACACTTTTATGATCCAGTCTAGCACATTGTGAAATATGTTTTTATTGAATGAATGAATGACTCCTCTATGTCAGGTTTAAAGATAAAATATATGATTTATCTGTGCAGTGCACACGTTGGTAGCCCTGTGTTAATGCTCTTGGTAGGTCTGCAGTTCAAAACAATGTTCTTTCACTCTGAACCATGGAATAAAGCATTCAGTGCACTTATCACATTATCGGGAGTTGTTATAAATGGATCTCCTTCTTTTTCTTCATAGTTAAGCAAACTTAATTCTAAGGAATTACTCTCAAAACTTCTGCTACTAAAGGTAAGAGTTTCAGTGATTTTTAAAAATTCAATCCATTTTTAACCTGTTTGGTAAAATGTTTTATAGTCATGTGATTCAAATATTGAAATGTAAAAAAGTATATAGTGAAAAATCTGTTTCACATCCTTGCAACCTATTTGCTCTGTTCCAAATGCACTCTATCCCAAAGACAACTAGTTGGGAGGAAATACAAATACACTTATTTTCTTTCTTTTTTTTACACAAACAGTAAACTATTTTATACAATGTTCTGTATCCTGGTTTGTTTTTGTTTGTTTTTTGTTTTGGCTGCTTTGGGTCTTCGTTGCTGCGTGCGTGCTTTCTCTAGTTGCGGTGAGTGGGGGCTGCTCTTCGTTGCAGTGCGCGGGCTTCTCACTGCGGTGGCTTCTCTTGTTGTGGAGCATGGGCCCTAGGCGTGCAGGCTTCAGTAGTTGTGGCATGTGGGCTCAGTAGTTGTGGTGCATGGGGTTAGTTGCTCCGTGGCATGTGGAATCTTCCCAGACCAGGGCTCGAACCCATGTCCCCTGCATTGGCAGGCGGATCCTTAACCACTGCACCACCAGGGAAGTCCCTGTATCCTGCTTTTTTCATTTAAAAACATTTTTGTTATCCATATGAGTATATAGTATTATCCTTTTTTTTGTAGAGTTGTACAGTATTCCATGGTACATATATCCTATAATATTTTTTAACAAGTTTCCTATTGATGGGCATTTGGGATCTTTCCAGTCTTCTGACTATTATGAATAATGGTGTAATGAAAAATAAACTGTTTTGTAATTGTGCAAGTGTATGATGATATAAATTTCTAGAAGTTAGTTTCTTTGTCAAAAGTTATATGCATTTAAGACGTTGATAGACAAGTGTCAAACTGCCTTCTGTAAGGATTGTACTAATTTAACTTCTGTAAGCATTGTACTAGTTTAACTTCCACGAGCAATGAATATATATTCCCCATAAACTCATCAACAAGATATTAGCATACTTATTTTTTTTAATTAAGTTATTTATTTATGGCTGCATTGGGTCTTTGTTGTTGGGTCCTCGTTGCTGCACACGGGCTTTCTCTAGTTGCAGTGAGTGGGAGCTACTCTTGGTTGCAGCATGCGGGCTTCTCATTGTGGTGGCTTCTCTTGTTGCAGAGCTCGGTCTCTAGGTTCGCAGGCTTCGGTAGTTGTGGCACGTGGACTCAGTAGTTGTGGCGCATGGGCTTAGTTGCTCCACAGCATGTGGGATCTTCCCAGACCAGGGCTTGAACCTGTGTCCCCTGCACTGGCAGGCGGATTCTCAACCACTACACCACCAGGGAAGTCCCTAGCATATTTTTTTTGTCTTTGACGATTTGATAAGATTGTCATTGTATCACATAATAGCTTTAATTTTCATTTCTGTTAGGAGATGAGCATCTTATATTTAGGAGCCATTTATATTTTCTTTTCTGGGAACATATTGCAAATCCTTGCTCGCTTTCCTATTGGTTTGTTTTATTCATTAGTTTTTTTTTTTGTTTTGTTTTGTTTTTGCGGTACGTGGGCCTCTCACTGCTGTGGCCTCTCCTGCTGCGCAGCACAGGCTCCGGACGCGCAGGCTCAGCGGCCATGGCTCACGGGCCCAGCCGCTCTGCGGCATGTGGGATCTTCCCGGACTGGGGCACGAACCCGTGTCCCCTGCATTGGCAGGCGGACCCTCAACCACTGCGCCACCAGGGAAGCCCTCATTAGTTTTTAATATACATTTTACGTCATATTAAAAGGACTTGCAGCAGGGATAAATGTCAAGATGGTTAGGAAAATTTGAAAGGAAAATTTTCTGCCAAGGTTAATTCATTTGCTGTGATGGAGCATATTTCACTCTGGGCTTCTGTCAGACATGGAAAACAAAGGGGGCGGGGAGGTATTTGGCAAAAGGAAACAAACAAATGAGAGAGAAAGAGAACCTTAGTGGGTTCTAAAAATTCTAGAAGAACTGTAAAGCTTAGGGAAAAAAGATATCATTATCCTGATTTTATTTGTTTTGTTTCCCCTAGAACAAGAGAAATTGGTAGGGAAATGGAAAGACAAAAGTTCTGATGATTTGCCCTTAATTTCACCAAGTTAAGTCAACTTCAAGAGTCCTCTTGTCAGAAAGGTAAGAACTGTATCCCCCAAATCAACACAATGTCTCTAAAAGGTTCATTCTTGCTTAGACTGCTGAAAAGCATCTCTATCAAGTCAGCTAAAGTACAAATGCTTACCTATCTGGTATTTAATTCTACTGAAAATGGACACCAGAAATCCTTTCTTTTTAATAAATTAATAAGATAAATAAAACAATACAAATTGAGTACCATTGGAAGCATTGTTAATATAAAAGGTCCAAAAATAAAGCTAAATTTCTCCAGTAACAAGCAAGTGGTTAATTATAGCTTGATACGTCATCAGTTAGAAACCTCAAGAAGAAAAAAATACTTAGAAATTTACATGATGGTGTAGGGACATATTCAGAACCCCAGAATTAGTATGAACATTATTTTAAGTTGAAGGCTTTTGACAATCAATGGGTGCAGAAAGAAGCCTTCTTAGAGCTTCCCTTATTTGACTAAAAGCAGAAACTTCTGGGAAATAAGGCTGCCAAAAATTCCCTCTTCATCGTGGGTCTACTCCCAGGAGATAGACCAAGAGTAAACCACTATAAATCCCTCTCCCAGGGGTTTCATGGCCATAAAGAAGAAGGAAAGACCACTCACACGAGCGTAAACAAACATTATCACAAACTTTCTTCCCCATTTGTTCTTCTAAAAACCTATTTGTCTTCCCTAAAGAAACCTATTTGTTCTTCCCATAGAAGCCAGTTCTCCCCAGTCCCTTTTCCCTACTAAGTTAGGCATATAAGCCCTATTAAGTTAGGTATATAAGTTCTTCCCAGTCCCTTTTCCCTACTAGTTAGGTATATAAGCTACCTCCTTAGTTAGCTCCATATACATATGAATAAACCTTTTACTCTTGGTAATGGTCTTTTGTCAGTTTAACTATCAGGTCCCCCTTTTGATTTTAAGAGGTTGGAGGAAAAGTTTTTCCTCCCCAGCAGTGGTCAAAGGGACAGCAGTTTTTTCCATGAGAAAAAGACAAATAAAATGGGTGGTGAGGGGAACCTCAAACATTTTCCAAAAAGAAGAAATCCAAATGGATTTCTTTGGATAAAATAAACTTTAAAAAGCCATTCAATCTCACAAATATCCAGAAAAATGCAAGTTTAAATCACCCCTCTGGTTGACAAATATTAAGAATCTGACAATAACCAACACTGGCATGTATGATGAGCAACAGAAACACTCAAACACCGCTGAAGAAAGTGTAAATAGATGCAACAACTTTCCAAACAGTTTCATGTTGTCTAGAAAATTGAAGATCCAGATACCCTATGACCTAGCACATTCACTCCCAGCTAAACATTGAGCATCACTCAGCAATTTGTTAGAAATAGAAATTTATGGGCCCAACTGCAGACCTTCCGAACCAGACTCTGCATCTTAACAAAATCCACAAGTCATACATAAGCACCTGTACTCTAGGGTATGAGGACAAGAATGTCCCTGAGAGCCCCAGATAAAAACAGTCCCGTTATCTGTGAACATGAGAAGAGTGTGCTATATTCATACAATAGAAAGCCGTTTATCAATGAATAGGAACAAATTACAGGCAAATGCAACCTGGATAAATATCACAATGTCGAGGGAAAGAGGCAAAGCACAAATAAAATATGTAGAGTATAAATCTACGTATGTAACCCTCTATAACGGTCAAAACCAAAGTGCACTGCTAGGCATGCACACTGAGGTAATGATACTAAAAAGGGGGAGGGGGGGAAAGTAAAGCAAAAAAGTGATTCCTAAGGAAATCAGAGTGGAATTTATCTCTGGAGGAGAGAGGGTTGTGATCTTAGAGGGAGGATGGCAGTTGTGGGGTTATTACAAAACTAGTATAGCTGTGGATAGTGTTTAAAGGGTTTTGTTTTATGATTATTTCTTTTTTTTGTTTTATGATTATTTAAATAGTGTAATGTTCTATGTAGTTTTCAGTATGTGTGTTATATTTCACATTAGGTAAGTAAATGCTATAGACTCATTTCCAATTGGGAAGAAATCAGCTATGTTAACACACGCAAAACTACAGATTGAACTTCTTCCAACCAACACATAGATAGATGAGAAAAGCAAGAAGCAGGAAATAACAGCAAAGTAAATTGGTTCTGGATAGAGAAAAACCAAGGTCTCCCAGTTTCTATTCTACTAAAAATAAGGTGTTTTTTTCCCCCAGTAAAGCTATCTCTATCTCTGTTGTCCATGAGGGAAGTTTAGGCACACAGCCCCAGGCCCGAGGAGTGGGTGTGCTCTGGCGGTAGAGGTGGAGGGAAGCAGGGGAGTTGCAGGAACTTGGGAGGAGGCTGTAGGCCATTCGAGGTGGAGGAGAGGTGGAGGCGAGGGAGGGAGGGCATGGCACTCAGAGATCAAAGAAGTGGGCTGTACCCCACAGAGCTAGCCTGCCCCTCTTCTTGCTGCCTGCCTCTTCGCCTTTGACCCAGAACCCTCACAGGAAGAGCAGTTCTGGAACTCTTTTTCTGGGTCAAACAGTGCATGGAGGGAAAGGGCGTTCCATGTTAGAACTCATTGTCAAAGGAACATACCCCAAATTAAGCGTTAAGGAGGATTCAGCCATTAGGGCACCTACACAGGAAGTTAGGTCAGGTGAAAAATCCCCAAGAAGAAAACAGTCAACTCAGGCTGAGCTTCCTGTAGCACTTAACAGTGAGGCCTGACATTCACAGAGTGGCCTTGAAGCCTGTCATTATTATGGCCTTGTTGTGGGTTGGAGCATGTATTATTTTAGTCTAGAGAAAGTTCCTTTCTATAAAAAAGTAGAATATACAAGATAATGAAGTCTCAAGTTGTTGAAAATAAGCCTCACTTGAAAGAAAAAAAAAAACAAAACAGAAATCCCTAAGGATGTGTCCAAACATTAACAGAAGATAACAGGAGCTGAAGAATCTTTTGATTCATGGTCACTTCAGAATACAACTTACTGTTAAGAAGGCTGGGTTTAAAATTATGATCGGGGCTCTAAGAAAGTAGGCAAAAGGCAGAGGTAAATGAATTTAAGATGGACTTTGAGAAAGAACTAGTGAAGAAATCTGAAAAATTTTACAAGTTTCTGAGAAGATAAAACATAAGAAATCAGTACAATTTGCAGAAACAGAAAGGGTCATTAATTGTCTTAGTCCATTCGGGCTGCCATAACAAAATGCCACAGACTGGCTAGCTTATAAACAGCAGAACTTTATTTCTCACTGTTCTGGAGGTTGGGAAGTCCAAGATCAAGGCGCCAGCATGGTTGCCTGGTTCATAGCTGTGCCTTCGTGCTGTGTCCTCACATAGTTGAAGTGGTAGGCAAACCCTCTGGGGTCCCGTTTATAACAGCATTAATCTTCCACCCTTCATGAGGGCTTTACCCTCCCAAGGGCTCCCCATCCTAATACCATCACATTAGGCACTGGGATTTCAAAATATGAATTTTGGGGAGGGGGACATAAACATTCAGACCATAGTATTTTTTTAAATAAATTTATTTTATTTTATTTATTTATTTATTCTGGCTGCAGTGGGTCTTCATTGCTGCACTGGACTTTCTCTAGTTGCGGCGACCGGGGGCTACTCTTTGTTGCAGTGCACGGGCTTCTCATTGCGGTGGCTTCTCTTGTTGTGGATCAGGGGCTCTAGGCGCGTGGGCTTCAGTAGTTGTGGCGCACGGGCTTAGTTGCTCCGTGGCATGTGGGATCTTCCTGGACCAGTGATTGAACCCGTGTCCCCTGCATTGGTAGGTGGATTCTTAACCACTGCACCACCAGGGAAGTCCAGACCACAGTATTAATGAAGCAAAAATCATTAAAGAGACCATCAGTGTGGGCTCTGTCAAGTGCTGGGGAAAAAAATTTAGACTTTGGAAAATAGAGCAGTTGCTGTAGAAAGTAGAGAACCAGGATGAGCTAGCCACACTGAGCTGAGTAGAACTTCTGAATGTACCTAAGAGGTCTCCAAAAGAGAAGGACAAATCCGTTGATTACAAAGAGAATGCCACTTGATATGACTCCATTTGTGCTGTGGTACCAAAAGTGTGCCTGCCAGAAATTGTACCTTACTCTGACATTTATGTCGCTGTCTTATTTCCCCTATGACTGTAGTGGTCTGAAGGGTAGAGGGTTGACCTTATCCAAATATACTTTCTCATCTCCCACCCTCAGCACCAAGCTGATGTAAGTACCAAGTTGTACACTGTAAATAACTTAATAAATACTTTAAGGCATGAATGAAAGAAAAATAGGCAGAGAGTAGAGAGGTTTTTTTTTTTAAAAAGAAAAAGAACAAGCTAAAAAAACTTACTTGCTGTTATAAAGAACAACATAATGAGTTCTTGAGAATTGATTGAAGAAGATTCCCTACTCCCCCCGCACCACCCTCTCAATCACCACAAAGATGAAATCACTTTGTGTTTATTATTTTAAAAGGAAAATAAAATATAATAGAGGGAAAGGCTTACAGGTTAGTTTTTTGTTGGGTTTCTCTCTTTTAAATTTAATCTTCTCTCTCTAGCAGCCTCTACAGATGCTTTCTTTTCTAGGTTAGTAACTATTGTCCTGATGGAGGCAAGTGGGAGGGTCCCTGGGGAAGCGGGATCCACTGGGTAAGAAAAACTCGGAAAAGACTTGGCTTGGGTTTTGTCAGGAGGGGAAAACAAAAGTGGGCCATTGACCCAGACCATCTTGTCTGAAAGCTGCCATCTAGTGTTCATTTCTGAGAATATGCCCTGACATACCAATCCTGTGGTTCTGTATCTGAAGGACAGTTTTTATTGATGTTTTATCATTATGCACCAGACTTTAAGATAATTCGGTTACCAAAAGAAACACAATACGAAAAGAATTGTGTTTCTCATCTGTTTAACTGCATACATATAATACTGCCAAAACAAAACTTTGGATAAATATTTCTAAAAGAAACGATCCCATACTGAACTGATGTAATAGCAATTAAAAAATAAAAATAATACGCAGGCTACCTTCTCCATCCTATTGTTAGTAACTGTTACCAATAGTTTTTATTGCAGAGAGGGCAAGGAGAGACAAACCATTTATTGTGTATCAGGGTTCCCGACTCTACAAACATTGTCTCATGTAAGTCTTAAAACAGTCCTCTGAGTATTTTTCCCCTCACCTTTATCGAGGTATAATTAACAATTAAAACTTGAGTTAAGGGGAATTCCCTGGCAGTCCAGTGGTTAGGACTCTGCACTTTCACTGCCAAGGGCCCGGATTAGATCCCTGGTCTGGGAACTAAGATCCCACAAGCCACACAGTATGGCCAAAACAAAAAACAAGACTTGAGTTAAGTTTTTCTAACACCATTTTACAGATGAGAAATTGAGGTGAAGTAACTGGGCTTTATATCAAAGAGCAAGCTGGATAAAGAACCCACATATGTCATACTCACAGGCCATGCACTTTCATCTAAACCACAGTGCCTAGTAAGCTTTTTGAAATTCAGGGGAAGGCTTGCAACTCCACATTTACTACTTTCATAAACTGTTAGGCCTAATCAACTTCGTTTGGAAATCACTGCATGAAAGGGAAACCCAACCTCCCACATCGGTCTGCAGGGCCACTTCCTTAAAACAAATTGTACTCTTGAGACCTGAACCAAAATACTCAAAATTCTAAGTTAAAAACACTAGGGTGGGGAATTCCCTGGTGGTCCAGTGGTTGAAACTCAGTGCTTTCACTGCTGAGGGCCCGGGTTTGATCCCTGGTCAGGGAACAAAGATCTCACAAGCTGTGCGGTGTGGCCAAATAAATAACTAAATAAATAACAGTGCAGAGTAATGATTAAAAAAAAAAACAACCAGGGACTTCCCTGGCGGTCCAGTGGTTAAGACTTCATCTTCCCATGCAGGAGGTGCAGGCTCAGTCCCTGGTCAGGGAGCTAAGATCCCACATGCCTCGTGGCCAAAAACCCAAAACATAAAGCAGAAGCAATATTGTAACAAATTCAATAAAAACTTTAAAAATGGTCCACATCAAAAAACAAAACAAACAAACAAAAAAAACCTTGGGACTTAACCTGGTGGCGCAGTGGTTAAGAATCCACCTGCCAGGACAGGAATAAAGATGCAGACTAGAGAATGGACTTGAGGACACGGGGAGGGGGAAGGGTAAGCTGGGATGAAGTAAGAGAGTAGTATCGACATATGTACACTACCAAATGTAAAACAGATAGCTAGTGGGAAGCAGCCGCTAGCACAGGGAGATGAGCTCAGTGCTTTGTGACCACCTAGAGGGGTGGGATAGGGAGGGTGGGAGGGAGACGCCAGAGGGAGGGGATATAAGGATATATGTATACATATAGCTGATTCACTTTGTTATACAGCAGAAACTAACACAACATTGTAAAGCAATTATACTCCAATAAAGATGTTAAAAAAAAACAAAAAAAGAATCCATCTGCCAATGCAGGGGACACGGGTTCGAGCCCTGGTCTGGGAAGATCCCACATGCCACAGAGCAACTAAGCCTGTGTGCCACAACTACTGAGCCTGTGCTCTAGAGCTTGAGTGCCACAGCTACTGAAGCCCGCGTGCCTAGAGCCCGTGCTCCACAAGAGAAGCCACCGCAATGAGAAGCCCATGCACCACAATGGAGAGTAGACCCCGCTCGCCGCAACTAGAGAAAGCCCGCATGCAGCAAAGACCCAATGCAGCCAAAAATTAATTTTTTTAACTCTTAAAAAAAAACCCACTAGGGTAGTTTTATTCTTGAGTTTTACTAGAGCAAATTCCTAAAATATATGAGGTATTTTAGTTACACTCTAACTTTACTACGTTTCAACTGAAACTTCATGTTTTACACTACATTTATTTAAACTTTTAGCAATTCCATATTATATCAGGAATCCAAATTCTTGCATGGAATCAATCAAATAAGCTATGCCCTCAACTCCCAATTTTGTGTATAAACAGTATTCATCACAACAGAGAAACACACACAATTAATTTTTTAAATTAAAGCAAAATATTAAATTTTCTTGGTTCAGGGACTTCCCTGGTGGCTAAGACTCCAAGCTCCCAATGCAGGGGCCCTGGGTTTGATCCTTGGTCAGGGAACTAGATTCCACATGCTGCAATTAAGAGTTCGCATGCTAAAATTAAAGATCCCACATGCCACAATTAAGACCCGGCACAGGGCTTCCCTGGTGGCGCAGTGGTTGAGAGTCTGCCTGCCGATGCAGGGGACACGGGTTCGTGCCCCGGTCCGGGAAGATCCCACGTGCCGTGGAGCGGATAGGCCCGTGAGCCATGGCCGCTTGAGCCTGCGCTTCCGGAGCCTGTGCTCCGCAATGGGAGAGGCCACAACAGTGAGAGGCCTGCATACCGCAAAAAATAAAAAATAAATAATAAAGACCCGGCACAGGCAAATAATTATATTTTTAAAATACTTTACAAAAAAATTTCCTTGGTAATGTATTTAATCACCTTTTGAAGTTTGACAAGTATTTTAACACAAAATTCCCTAGCTTGGAATAAATACTTTAGAGCACCAATATGATTCATTAATGAAACATTTATCAGAGAAAAGAGGACTCATTGATTTGACACCCATCTGTCTAGATCAGGAGCTTTTGTTCTTAGGCAAGATTATTTTTCTTTACTCCTGACAACAATTCTATAGTTTGTAATTAATTGTGTGATATTCATGCAGACTAGTGTTGCAAATAACCCTAAATTTTAGGGGGCTCAACACCATAAAGTTTTATTTATTGTTCACATTATAGTCTAACACGGATCGGTGGGGTCTTACTCCATGAATTTATTCAAGGAACCTGGCTTCTTCTGTGTAGTGCTCTACCACCTTCAAGGCAGGTAAGATCTTTTTTTTTAAAATTAATTCATTAATTTATAGCTGCGTCGGGTCTTTGTTGCTGCGCGCGGGCTTTCTCTAGTTGCGGCGAGCAGGGGCTACTCTTCATTGCGGTGCGCAGGCTTCTCATTGCAGTGGCTTCTCTTGTTGTGGAGCATGGGCTCTAGGCGCATGGGCTTCAGTAGTTGTAGCACATGGGCTCAGTAGTTGTGGCTCGCAGGCTCTAGAGCACAGGCTCAGTAGTTGTGCACGGGCCTAGTTGCTCCATGGCCTGTGGGATTCTCCCGGACCAGGGCTCAAACCCATGTCCCCTGCATTGGCAGGCGGATTCCTAACCACTGTTGCCACCAGAGAAGTCCCCACACATTTATTTTTAATTTAACAAGCTATAATACATTTGTAGCATTCCACACCCTTTTTTAGACGGGAAAATTATATTATGTATTTTACATGTTAAAGCAGAGGTGCTTTCAGTTACACACGTTTAAATTTTAGTATTTATTAAGTGCCTCCAGCTAGACTAAGATTCTTTATTTCAAGTTCTGCGATCCCTGGCCTTTAATTTAGGCTTCCTTTGAATAGTGTGAAATTACACTATTATATTTCCGATTACTGAAAAGTTAGCAAGGAGTTAAATTCATTAAAATATATATGTGGAGAAATCTTGGGTCCATTTAATGTGAAGATATGTCTTCCTTTGGAGCACATATCTTCTTTCGGCAATTAGCTGGGTACTCTAAATGCATCCTTTCTATGGTATGCCCTCTTAAAGGCTATAGGCTTTTGGTGATAATGCATCAAGTAATTAGTCATATATGTAGACAATTCAGTAGAAGATTCCTGTCATCAAATAGTTCCTGGCATCCCCAGAACAAGGAAACGTGGAGGCTTGTGAGTCAGAACAGGGTGACTTTAACAGCAGCCTAAGGGAGTTGCTGAGGTTAATATGGGCTTTCATTTTTTTCCAATGGCCATGTTTTTACCATGGTTACATTTGTACTCCGTGGTCTGTTGAAAGGATTTGGCCTGCTTAGGGCTTTCATAGGTACCCAACAAGGCAGTATTTACTCTTTGACCTGGGCAAGAGGACCCTGCACTGTAGTGGCCACCACATATCAGAAACATGCTAAACTGCTAAGGCCTATAGGGGAGGAAAAAATTTTCTTTTCCTTCTAGCCATCTTAGGTTCTCTGGCTGGGGCCCTGTATTTAGACTGACAAGACAGACTAAGAGAAAAACAAAGAGTTTATTAATGTGGGCTTCCCTGGTGGCGCAGTGGTTGAGAATCCACCTGCCAATGCAGGGGACACGGGTTCGAGCCCTGGTCTGGGAAGATCCCACATGCCGCGGAGCAACTACGCCCGTGTGCCACAACTACTGAGCCTGTGCTCTAGAGCCTGTGAGCCACAACTACTGAAGCCCGTGCCTAGAGCCCGTGCTCCAGAACAAGAGAAGTCACCGCAGTGAGAAGCCGGAGCTCCACAACGAAGAGTAGTCCCCGCTGGCTGCAACTAGAGAAAGCCTGTGTGCAGCAACGGAGACCCAATGCAGCCATAAATACATAAATAAATAATAAATTTATTAAAAAATAGTTTATTAATGTATGCATCGCACAAACACATGGGAGCAACTCGGAGATGAGTAACTCAAAAGAGTGTTAGAACTCGGCCTATATAGCATCTTAAAAAAAGAACAATAAATTTTTAGGTAAATGACAAGGCAAAGGAAAAGACTTCTGAGTTTCTAGGGCAGCAAATTGTGGGAAGGCAAACATATGGGGGAACTAATGGAAGGTAAGATGTGTTATGGAGATTCCTCTGGTGCTGTCTCTGGGCTGAAAAAGCATCTAGAGTTGTCTCCAGTAATTAACTTTTGTCCTTCCTGGTAGAGAGAAGAGGGGGAACATGTTAATGAATTTATATCCTGCTTTTAGGCAAATAGGGGGAGGGCAGAAAGCTTTCCTTATATCTGCTTTTTCTCAGTTGTCTTCAGCAAAAAATAATCCTGATGCCAAAGTGGCATATTTTGGGGTGGTATGTTCTGCTACCCTTCAGGCCCCAGGAGATAAACACCCCAGCATATCTCTAGCTGTGTGTCCTCAAAAGAAAATGACATTGTGTCCAAATGCTAAGAAGCCTCCTCGGTTGTGCATGGCCAACGTCATAGATGGATATTGCTTCAGAGACTGGAAAGGTTTTGAGTAGCAGAAGCACTTAAGTAGGAGAAGGTAACAAATTACTTTGTCAAATCCTTTCAGATAGCATTAATGCAAGGGATTCTTACATAGCACAGTTACGTTAACAGTGCATTAATATAAACACTTTATATTTCAATGAGTGGTTCCAGAATTACTCAGGAATTAGGTTATTAGCACAGTATCTGCAAGAGCTGTGGCTGAGAAACACTTAAGAATATTAAACAATTCATATTATCTTTAAAGTCCTTTGTATGAATGTCAAGACCTAATATACACAAAATATGATGCTGACTACTAACATTGGCAACTGGATGGACTACGAACACTAAAATATTAGTTTTATTTTTATAACAATATTTAGTAAGATTTAATTACATTTGCCAAAAATTAAGATTGTTTAAATAATTTTAACTTAAAATCTTTATATTCTTTAATTATAACACATTTTGCCTTTAATTTTGGAAGATAATTCGGAAAACTTTAGAAGAAAAGTAACTTCTTAAAAATGTGTGAAAATAATTTTAAAAATGTTTACAGTAATTTAATTTACACTTGGGGAAAATATATTAAAATCTATACACTTAGAACACAATTACATTTTACATTTTTAGTCATTTAGGTCAGGGGTTGGCAAGCATTTTCTGCCAAGCTCTAGATAATAAATAGTATTTTAAACTTTGTGGGTCAGTCTCTAGGACAGCTACTCAACTCTGCTGTTATAGCTCAAAACCAGCCACAAACAATACATAAATGGAGATAGCTATATTGAAATGAAACTTTATTTACAAAAGGTTGGTAAACCAGATTTGGCCCATGGCTGTAGTTAGCTGACCCCTGATTTAGGTTATTACTGTCAGTAGAACCTAAGTAATATTAAAGTATTAATTATAATAACATAATTAGTAATATTGCTAAATAAGGGCAAGAAAAATTAATATTACAGAATAAAAAAAGTTTATGAATTATGTGTCTTAATTTTATGAACCTTCCAAACATCAGCAGTCCATCAACAGAACACCTGAACAGGTGCAATATTAAAGAGAATCAGCAAAAAACTGAGAAAGAGCAGGAAGTGAAGTAGGAGAAAACCAAGAGAATGGGTGTCCTGGAAGTCAAGAAAGCATGTCAGGGAGAAGAAAGTGATCTGTGGATTGATGGAGGGAAAAATCTAGTGAAATGGCTTTGAGGGATCATGGGAGATGAGTCATCTAGACAGTAATTATAGACAGTTTATCCATGTCAGCATCATTATGTATATTACTGCTCCTCTAATCAGTCATGTCGCTTTGCCTCCTAAGTAGAGTTAAAGCCTGATATTGTACACCGTATTAGGAATATTCCCAACTGTGTGCTAGTGTAGGGCAAATTCAGAAGTTTTGTGTATAAACAATATTTTTGTCTTATAACCATCAATATCATGTTCCTTTTATCCTCACTGCCCCTCAAAACAAAGAAAACATCTGGCACTAGAACCACTGAGGTTTTCAAATGAGCTGAAATCAGAGTTTTGTAGCATTGAAATTGAGTCTTTTCACCAAAGTATAATATAGCTTGAAAAAGGAAGCAGCAATTAAGAGTCTGCCCAAATCCACTGACCAGCATTAGGACTGGGCTAGTCTTTCTTAGTTGAGAACACTATAGAAGAAAGTCCCATTGGGCCTGGCAGTGAGATGCTTTCAGGCAGTTAAGAAAATCCAATTTACCTTTGCTGAACGTTTGCACGTTGTGCCACCTGCCTCTGGCAGCAGAGAAGACCTAAATTGTATACCCCGAAGGGTGTTTAAGTACAAAAACAAGGCTGCCTTTGACACAGTGAATGGAACCAGGGTGCACCTGCACTTCCAAATTTCTCAATTTCAGCCCAAGATGGGCTCAGTCCAAGCATTCCTGTGAAAGTTCCTGTTCAGGTTTCCCATCTCAACGCTCACACCAGCAGGGACAGAAGATGCTCCACACTGGTGCCTCCAACACATGGCACTTGTGCTCCCTGAAGCTTACAACTCAGTCGTTGCTTAAGGGGCCTAAGCAAGGGCTTTTAAGCCCGCCCAGGACCTTCCCACTTGACAGAGGCTGTAGGGCCGTGAGCCTTAAGGGAGTCCCTTCACACGACGCAGCTCTCGGATCTAGCGCAGCACCGAGGCCACGCCTCTTATGTCCCCGCTCCAGATGGCCCGCGCGCGGGCACGGAAACCTATTTCCAAGGGAGGGCGTTGACTCCAGAGGTCTCTCCCCAAAGGCACCCCGCGGGTAACTGGGCATCAGTTCCTCTTTCCTGCCTGAGTGTCTCCCCGTTCTGTGACGACCAAGTCCCGCTCCAAAGGTGCAAGAAGCTTCCGGGCTGTGGATTTAGCTTCTGTGCTGCGCGGAGCGGACCTGTAAGAACCGGAGTGGCTTAGGCAGTCAGTTGACCCACATGACTCGCTTGGGCCCGGCTTAATGGTGCTCGCATTCCTTGGGTCACGTGAGGCCATGGGCACTCAGGAGGATCGGCATCCAGCTCTTTATGCGCATGCGCTGGCAATCTATTCCCCCACCCCACACCCCGGAAAAATCTTTCAAATGGCATACTCAATACTGGCTCACTTTGTCCTGCTACCTTCCTCTCCGAGGTCGGGACACACAAGCCCAAGTTTTCTTCCTTCCCGGCGCCTGGTGCAGGTGAAGGATCTGGAACCAGGCAGTCAAGAGGTGCGGAGAACACTGGGACGTGGCAGTTTTCCTTCGTGTTCGCGTATGCTGCAGTATGCCTACTGTCACGTTCAGTGAGCTGCGAACGCTGCAAGTCTGCCGGGTTTTTGTTTTGTTTTGTTTTGTTTTGTTTTTTAACATCTTTATTGGAGTATAATTGCTTTACAATGTTGTGTTAGTTTCTGCTGTATAACAAAGTGAATCAGCTATATGTATACATATATCCCCATATCTCCTCCCTCTTGCGTCTCCCTCCCACCCTCCCTATCCCACCCCCCTAGGTGGTCACAAAGCACCGAGCTGATCTCCCTGTGCTATGTGGCTGTTTCCCACTAGCTATCTATTTTACATTTGGTAGTGTATATATGTCCATGCCACTCTCTCACTTCCTCCCAGCTTACCCTTCTCCCTCTCCGTGTCCTTAAATAGAATTTTAAGAAGTTAGCCAAGATAAAATGAGAAACTGATTTAGACTTAGGTCCCAAATTTACAGTTTCAATGATTTAGGAGAATTCCTTGGTAGCCATACTGAGCCTCAGTTTTCACATTTGTAAAAGGGTGAGGATTAAAAAAACTGATACTTCTGGAAACACCTGTCATTCTGATTGGATATTTTTTAAATGTTGACTGAAATTTAAATGGATAAATTATAAAAAGAAGATGACAAAAAGGCCTATTATCATTTCATTACCCAGATAAATCCTGGTGGTCTACTGATAGGAGAAGGGGCTTCTCTAAGTAGTTTTCTTCATCCTGATTTCTGGACACTCCCTTCTTTAATCTGCTTCTGCAGGCAGGGTGTGACATTTTGGAAAGTTTTTTTTTTTTAACATCTTTATTGGAGTATAATTGCTTTACAATGGTATGTTAGTTTCTGATTTATAACAAAGTGAATCAGTTATACATATACATATATCCCCATATCGCTTCCTTCTTGCATCTCCCTCCCTCCTGCCTGGGTTTTTCATCCCCAAGCTCGCAGTTCTCTGGAGGTCGGACGCCGGGGCCCAGCGGAGCATTGGTGCGTGCGGAGGTCACTTGGTGCCAGACTCAATCCTGTCCCTCGCCTCTTGGGCCCTTCTTTTTCTGAAACCACGATCCCTAGAGTTAGTTCCTCCAGGATATTCTGCAGACCCTGTGACCAGCTTTTTCATTTCTCCCTCCTGGGGCCAATACTTTCTACAGTGTCTACAGCCAAAATATCTCACCACCAGGAGGACCTTCACCACCAACTGGTCATTTAGGACTCTTCCTCATCCGTGGAAATCCACGGGCCTTTTGCCACTTCTCTTTTCTGGTAGGCTATCTCTCAGGCTTAAGGTAGTACAGGCCTCCCACCTGTAAAAAATGGGTCATCCTTATGGCCCTTAAGACAAATTACATTAAACTGACCCCCATCATTTTTTAGACTTTTAACCCTCCAGTTTAGTTTGTTCTTTCCTCATGGTCTTGATTACCAACCCATCTTGGGACCAGAAGAATTCATTCACCTTCACCTTTAAAAGGTGGAGGTTGGTTGGCACCTTTCCTCAGGCTGCGTTGTTAAAACACATGTTTCAAAATCAGGTATAACTTTTCCTTTGGTATTTAGGTTTAACAATTTTATGAAACAATATTTTTCTCTTTGAGCTGTCCTGGCATCATGCACTTATGAACCAAATAATTCATATCTGATCCTTGTATCAAAGGAGTAGGTTTGGCATTAGCTTCAATGGAAGACTACCTCAAAGCCTGTCGTCTTTGAATGCTCTTCCTTGGACTTAAGCTGCTGCTGTGTGGAATCCCAAATAAGCCCATATGGAGGAGAACTGAGGCTTCTGGCCAGCAGCCCCAGCTGAGTTTCCAGCTGGCATCTACCAACAACTGTCTGCCTTGAGAGGGAGGTCAGTTGGGCCTTCTTTCTTCCACACCTCGGAGAATGGAGTCATTTTCAAGATGTAGTCTATGAGTGAGGTTTGGGAAAACAGATATTAGTTGGTATGTTGCAGTGAGACGGGAATGAATGACAAGCAAAAGTTGGCAGAAAGGGGGGGCTTCCCTGGTGGTGCAGTGATTGAGAGTCCGCCTGCTGTTGCAGGGGACACGGGTTCGTGCCCCGGTCCGGGAGGATCCCACATGCCGCGGAGTGGCTGGGCCCGTGAGCCATGGCCGCTGAGCCTGCGCATCCGGAGCCTGTGCTCTGCAACAGGAGAGGCCACAACAGTGAGAGGCCTGTGTACCGAATTATATTTGGAATATTTCCAAATATATTTTGGAGTAAGAAATATTTCAGCAATGCAGACAATTTGTGTTGTGCGTGATGGTGTTGTTGGTAAGATGTATCTTGATATGCTATACAACAATAAGTTAATGTCTGAATACGTTCCATGGTTTCTGACAACTATGCAGTCAGTAACTGGTGAGAGCCATACACTTACGGACTTTTTGATCCTGCAGGACAAGAAAGATTTGACAGAACAGCCCCTCAGCTATCCACAAACATATATTTCTAGTCTTTTTCAGTGGTCTTCAGCCCTTATTTGGAAATGTGAAAGAAAAGTGGGTACCTGAGATAATTCACCATTGTTTGAAGACTCCTTATTTGTTGGAGCCAAAACTGATCTCAGAAATGTGATACCCTCTATTATCGAGAAGCTTGCCAAGAACACAGAAACTTCTCCCTCTGCAGACTGCTGAAATGCTGTTCTGTGACCTGAAGGCTGTCGAATACATGCAGTGTTCTGCATTCTCACAGAAAAACCTAAAGTATGCATTTGACAAAACACTACTGACTGCCTCGGAGGCTCTGGAACCGAAGAAAAGCCGCAGGTGAGTGCTGCTTTGAACATAGCTCCAAAACGTTGTCATCAGACTAAAAGCAATGTTTAAATCAAATTAAAAGTTAAGGCTCTGAGCCAATTTAATGTACCATTGTAAAAATGTATAATTTAAATGATACGTTACTTTTTTGTGCTATGAATGCTTATAAAGTGTTAGAGAAAAGCTTTTTGATGTCCAAAGTGTTTCCTGTGTAAATAGTGTCTGTTGGTTGACAAATCTAAAGTTTCTGTCTTGATGGCATTATTGCAATGTTAGCAGATGCTTGCCAGCAGGTGTGACTAGTAAACACTGACGATATAGAGGCTTCTTGCCAAAAAAAAAAGTTTGGGGACAATGAAGGTGAATTTACCACACTGAAGTCCTCCAGCAGTCATAGAAAAAACCATGTCCTGTCCGACGTGTAACTCCTGCCAAAAGTTGACCTTATCTATGGTAAAAAGAGGCCATACCATTGTGGCCCTTGAAACTTGTCTGTATTATCTTTTATTCAGTGAAAAGTTCACGCACCCAAGTGGTTGTAACTGATACCTCTGAATGTATTGTGGGAACAGATGTGTTGCGTATGTATAATACTTCTCTTGATTATTAGGAATGTTCCCAGTGGGGAAATGCCACAAATTAAACAGTGCTAGTGGGATGAGTATACAACTAGGAGCCCACCTGGATATTTCAGCCCAGTTATGTGATACCAGTAGAGCAGGACAGGATGCCAGGCGAAGGGAGGAGAGGGGATGAGCAGATAACTATACTGACTAAGGATGTGGTAGTAAGAAGATACATAAGGAAACTATCTAGCAGGCTATACAGACTGCGCTCCTATTTTGACAGGCTAGTTCTAATGAGCCTTTTGAGCTTCAAATATCAGTGCTTGACAGTGCTTGCAGTAGACTGCATCTGTGGCACTAGGCAGTGGTGCCCACTAGGGTTTTGGACACAGCATTTTTCTAACACCACTGCCTGGTATACTCCATTTGAGGGGTAATTATTGGCCTGTTGTTGAGTGCTGGTGGACCCTGAGAAGCTAACTAAGCAATACCACATGATGTTATTCTCTGACCTGCCCATTCTGGAATGGGTCAAAAATAAAAATGTCAACAAAGTGGGTATTGCCTAGCAAGCATGCATTATGAAATGGAAATGGTATATCCAGGAAAGAAGTAAGACTTGGTATATTACTTTTCTATTGCTGCTGTAACAAAGTACCACAAACTTAGTAGCTTAAAACAACACAAAATTATCTTACAGTTCTGAAAGCTAGAAGTCCAAAATGGGTTTCAGTAGACTGAAATAAAGGTGTTGGCATGGCTGCCCTCCTTCTAGAGGTTCTAAGGAAGAATCAGTTTCCTTGCGTTTTCCAGTTTCTGGAGGGTCTTGGCTCATGACCCCTTCCTTACATCATTTCAGCCTCTTGCTTCCATCATTACATCTCCTACTTCCTCTTCTATAGTCAAATCTCTCTCTGGCCTCTTTCTGTTAAGGACACTTGTGATTACATTTAGGGCCCAAACGGCTAATCCCCATCTCAGGATCCCTAACTTGATCACATGTGCAAAATCCCTTTTACCACATAAATTAACACTCATAGGTTACAGGGATTAGAACCTGGAAATCTCTGGGGGCTATTATTCAACCTACCACACTGGGCATTAGTGGAATCTCACAGCTACATAATTACTAGGAAGATGTGGCTATCTCAGAGGCAGGATCTATGCTATCACCTTAGGCTTCTTGGGGGCCTGGGTACACTACAGCTCCTAAGGTTGCCTAAGCCTCATGGATATGCCAGCTAAGTTAAAGGTCAATGGGGTTGTGTAGGAAAGAGTTAACATAGCAGATCTGAGCCTGCTTATCCTTAGGAAGTTCTGCTTACAAGGTTGGCCTTTTGCTGGTGTCTGAGATGTGATTTGGAGAGGGTTCCCACCATCCACAGAACTGATAAGAGTGGCTCATTGTACCTAAAATGTTTGTACAACCAGTGTGGATTATGCTGGATACCTGCTTTCCTCCTGGGAGTCTGGAATTTTGGTATGTGTTAGGCAGAAGGTGCCTACATGACCAGTCCCCCAATAAAGCCTTGGGCTCTAATGTGCTTGCTCCATGTGCCTTTTCTATCTGCTGTCTTGTTTTGTATCATTTCACAGTAATAAATCTTAGCTGTGAGTACAACTATATGCTGAACATTGTCCGTCCTCCTAGTAAATTATCAGACCTTGGGGGAGGGTGGTCTTGAGGACCCCTAACTCAGTTGGTGTCAGAAATGGGATTTGCTAGCCCAACTCTGACTCACTGAAATATGGCAAAAGCAGCTTGAGAAAAGTAAAGGTGAAGGAGTGAGGGATAACACGTCTTTAGTACTAACTATGCTGGCTATTGAGTCATTC